AATTAGTTTGACTTTTAATTTAGTCCTAAATATAAAACCACAATCACTCTGTCTCTCATAATTTATCTGTTTTTTTTCAAAGTAATCCTTGTAGTAGTTACACATGTTAAAGATTTATTAAATAACAGTTATAGCTAATATACATGATTAGTAAGATTATACTAGAAAAGACAATACATATTTATTACAAATAACTAGTTTAACAAACTTTGTTAATCTATTTAAATTAGTTAACTTACTTTATATTAAGGATCGGAAGAAGTATCAGGCATCATAAGGACGCTTGGCCCTCTCTGCTGAAACCAAAAACCAGCTGCTGGTTATCCATCTTGTTTTTGATATTGTCAAGTGTTTGTGTAATATTATGGCGATGAGCATATTTTGCTGATGACCACAAAGAAAATGTAACCTAATTAGTGGTCTGAATTGTGCAACGTGCCACGCTAAGTTAGGTGTAATGGAACAAACTATTGATGTGGCAGACCTCAGCTGAGATGCGAAATTTTTTGAAGTATTTTCAAATCTTAAAAAGACACAAACTCTTTTCCTTTCTAATTATTCCGTTCGAATGAATAGGGGTCGGTCCTAAATTAATGAAAGAAAATTGACGACCACTTAAACCTCAGCTATGGATCACAGAAAGTATTATTGGGCTAACTTGCGTGATTAGATTGCAACTAATCAATGGATAAATGCTGGCAATCGACAACGACATGAACCAACAACAAACAATATGCCATTGTACTACTGACAGTGTGTTTCACTTTCCAGTTTGCATTTGGAGTCCAGTTTTGTATTTTTAATTAAAATTAATTAGCTAATTATATATATTATCAAATGAAGGACAAAGGTTTTAATTTTTAAATCACAAAATTATTCAAAGTTTGTGGAAATATGGTGAGAAATGTAACTTTTAAAATTACAGATTACTTGCATGCACGACTTTGTGATTTAATAACATTTGAACTTCATTATACATGAGAGGTTTAAGTATGATTCTACTCGTACTTCTAATTAAAAAGAATTTAATTGTGTATAATGTAATTTAAAAACTAAAGAATAAAAAAAATTAAATCATCAACATGGTTTCGTTCTCTATCTGATTTTAGAAACTTTAATTATTTAAAATCTCTCCAACCACAAATTGAATGCATAAAATGCGAGATATATATAAAAAAACAAAATTGAATCTCCAATCTTTTTTAATGCAAAAATGTATGACTATGAGTAATTTTATTCTTTTGAATTCAAGTTTATGGAATTAGGGTATCTGTGCATTTAGCAATTAAATTATTTTATATGTGTATCCAGTAAACAGATGATATCTTTTTAGTTACATTCAGTACCATAATAATTAGGATGTTGAATGCACTATAAATAAGATAAAAGTTCTAGATGTACTATAAAAATAAAATAATGATACTGAATACATTTAAAAAATATTATTAGAATGTTGAATGTTGAATGTACTTTTGTCTTTAGAATTATTACACATATAGTGGGCTTTATCAGTTTGAAAAAGTTGAAGAAGCCCAGGAAGAAGACACCTCCATTGATACTTACTGTCTGGAAAGAAAACCCTACTTTTTTTTTAAATGGCACCAAAAACCCTCTACTTTGCATCACCATTATAGGAAAAAAATCTATTCATGGTCCCATTCCCAAAAAGCAATGAAAAGCCAAACCAATCAATCACATTACACAGTTCAGAAACAACTCATTTGTGTCCACATCTTGAAGCTTATGAACCACTTCTTGAACCTCCCAACACAGATTTTCCAAAAGCAGATCGATCATCATGCAACTTACTGTGTATTATATTCTCTTCTTAGCATTATTATTACTATTATTATTATTATTTTCAGAGTTGAACAAAGCACTGTGTCATTTTGCCGACATATGCATCTGCAAGTGCCTAACTTTACAATGGCACCTTTTATTGAAAGGAAAGCAAAGGCCCAGAAGCCAGACGGAGCCACTTTCATACACAGTTTTGGAATAACAAGTTGACAAATAATTTAAAATCATTCAGTGAACCTACCGCTCACCAAAATGTAACATATTCGCCATACAAAAAAAGTTTATCTCCTGCATTCAGAGGCATTTATATATTTATTTATTTTACAATATGCAAAAGATTGAATAATATCTGTAAAAGTGACTTTTATTCCAACTTACTAGTACAAATTGAAGTTGGAGAAGTCAATATCAACATACAGGGCTATTACTTAGAGTATAATTAAAATTGACATGCATATACATAACATGATAGGTTTATACCCTACCCAAGGAAGGAAAGATATTTTGTTGCATGATAGGCAGAGAGTAGGACACAGGGCTGGCAGGTGAACCTAGCATTCCTGTCCTATAGTTTACTAGGAAGATAGTTAACTAAAGGTTGGAGTTTTGCAGTGAGAGAAAAAGGAAAGAAATCAGAAATACAGAAGTGGGGAATCCTAAGTTTGACAAGAGCAACTGTGAAGATGACATAAGCATTGTTCTCTCAAGCACCAAGCAACTTCAAGTGGGGTCACTCTCACTGATTTAGATTAGATAGACATAAAATATTTTTAAAAAAATTCACACAAAAAAGAAATAAAATCCACTCTTACTTCTCCCACTATCACACCACCTCCACTTAGTTTTCTATGTATCCAATATCTTGCTAGCGAGATTCCCACAAGCCATTCAATCTCTCATTCAAATCTGAAGTCTAAGAGAGGAAGGGAATGATATTCATCCAGGAAGATGATGATGGTGATTTAAGAGGCAACAAGGAAGTAGAACTAGAAAGAGAAGTAATGAACAATATTGAAGCAAGCGAAGATGAAATCCAGAAGCAGGAGAATGGTTGAACCTGCGTTTAGGGGGAACACAGTTCTCAACAACATCAGAATTGTCAGAATCACGATCAAGATCTCCATCAAATGCGAAAATCTTCTCGTGCAACTTCTGCATGAGGAAGTTCTATAGTTCACAGGCTTTGGGGGGACACCAGAACGCACACAAGAGGGAGAGAGGAGTTGCTAGAAGATATAGCCAGACACAGAAGATGATGACGATGATGGGTTTTTCCTTTCGATCACTTGGAGTTCAGCCCCATTCACTAGTGCACAAGCCTTACCGCAGAGGAGGAGGAGGAACAAGAATAGTACACCGAGCTTCCATGAAGAAGCTCACCATTTAGGAGGAAATAGAATGGGATTGAAGAATTGTTTCGCGGCCGATGAGGATCAAGTGGAAATTGGTCTGGCCTGGAAGAAGCTTTCGGTTGGATCCCCAACAAAAAGCCGACCCACCTAAAGAGTCAATGAAGCTGGATTTGGACCTGCGACTCTGAAGTACGAAGACTAATTATTATTGGACTGGTCATGGAAGTTTGTTTCTCTGAGAGATTTTTTTTTAAGCATGCAGCCCAGAGGTAGGATGCTTGAACTCGAAGAGCCAATATCTTAAAGGATGGTTCGCCCGCAAATTCATGCTACAAGAATTAGAGTTCGAATGTTTATATAGCTTTTTTTGAAATTACCTGAGATGTTTATTGTGGTTGTAGCACCCCGGGGGGGGGGGACCAAACGAGGGGCATTAGTTTTAGGTTATGTTTGGTACGAAATATTAAAAATAAAAAATAAAGATTGGAATCGAGATTAAGAAAAACCATTTAAAGAGTGTTTAGTATGAATAATTTTCTTGTTACATGTGATTAAGCAATCCCATGTAAGTGGGATTGAGAAATACCACATCCCCATAGTATTTTCTAATCTCACTATAAAATTTGTCTAATCCCAAGTAATAAGCAATCACTTATGCTAGACACTCTTTAAACATATTTTTTCAATCTCAATCTTATTTCTTACTCTCATTTTCAATACTCCGTACTAAACAGGACTTAGTTCATTTGTGATTGATAATGACATAATTATTATTGATGTTCAGTGCACATAGGAAGTCTGGTTTATTTCCAAGTCATCGTATCTCAATTTTCTTGATTATATTCTATGCTTCAATAAAAATAGTAGTTTTATTGATAATTATTGAGTACGTCATAAATAAAACGACATCCCTCGCCGTGAGCTTAATTAAAATTAAATGAATTCAGCGAATGAGTCGTGTCAAAAAACATTCAGGAAAAAAAAAAAACATACTAAAAACCGTGTTGTGTGACAATGAGAGGGGGGGGGGGGCAACGCATGAGGCTCTTGATAGGCAAGGGACAGACACATGCGATCTTACCTGCACCTTACCTCCATGAGCAGCGAGATTGTTTCCCGAATTAAGTTGCCCAAAAAAAATAACAATGAAAAAAAAAAAAGTACTCAAAACCATTCCATTCCCACAATATCGTGATTTTTACACGAGATAAGTATGTAAAAAAAACTTTTGTCCCAATTTACAAACTCATTTATAAATACTTGCAAACATGATTTCAAACAGACATTAGGCTCGTTGGTCCAGCTGCTCAATAAAATAACGACATAATTGCGCTATCTGCTGTCTGTAGAAAATGATACATTCTGCCGGCACATTGGGCCTCATGGTAAGTCACAGGTTGTTGACTTGAGGTTCCATGTTCGAAACCGGCGAGAGGGAGAGAAAATGATGCATTCTATCTGATGACGTAAATTTACACAATTACATGTGAAGCTTTACAGTTTCAGACAAAGAAGCTCTTAAAAATTCATCCTGAAGAATCAAAGGAGTATAGACCTGCTCGCTTCAAGCTGTACTTTTTTTCCTCTTTAAACGGTACAAAACAATTAGTGTTCAATTATTGTCATCACTTTCAGTTCCAGTACCTTTCTCCAAATAAAACCATTTGTTAACGTCACGACCTCAGAATAACTTTAAAAATTACAAGTATCCGAAAGCTTCAAGATTAGCATGCTATCTGCTATTTCCTTAGCTGGTACGCCCAAGAGTCCCCGCCATATCATAACCCGCATCCTGTCCGCTCTTCGAAGCAATTGATGGATTCAACAGCCATTGCAAAATGTTTATTCTGTTCCTCACAAAAAGCTAGAGTCAGAAACGAACCCCCCCTTTTTGTTCCCTCCTGTCATTTTCCTCCGGGGAGATAAATTGTAATACGAACAAGATAGGAATAAGACTGAATCTTTTTTGCATAATGAGAATCTACGACCTTACAGATTAAGCGGAAATGGTTAACTTTTGGGTCTTGTGCATGACCACAGGGAGCTTCATGCTGATGGCGCTAGGATCGCTATAGACAGAAGAATCAACAGGGTGTCCATTCTGCACCAATTAATCAGAGAGGTTAATGCGCACTTAGACACAAATTCGACAATAAATTACATGGATATGCACTAATTCAATCGTAGCTCTGAAATCAATCAGTTTCAGTTTTTCAATTCTCATAGCAGGAAACAAGCAAAATTCAATAATATCTGCATAATCAAGAATCTTAACCATTCCAATTATGTAAGGTTGACAAGTGTTATTAAACCATTCATGTAAATGTAGATTCAGCCAGAAATTGCTATAGCACTAGCATCCATGATCAATACAGTTATGCACCTAAAAAACAATATATAATACCCGCAGTTTCAGTTTTCAAAATGATCTTTACACATAGGTGTTAAGGTTAAACCCTTGTGGTAAATAAACTCCGGAAAGACATGTAAATGCATGGCACAAACTTACCATAGACAATGCTTCAAACGTAGATTCTCTCCAGCACATCTCCCGAAGTATAACAGGATTTTCACCACCAAATATACAATGCATGCGAGTGTCTCTCAGTCTAATCAACACTCCATCAACTCTTAGCTGTTAAGACGAACAAATCAACAATTGGATCACAATTTTAAAAGAAAAGAAAACGGTGTAAGTAAATCTCTAATTAAATCACCAAGTTTCTCATGAATAGTGGAGCAATTTCAGTTAATGTGTTTTAATATGGTCAACAGTATGATAATGTATGAGGGGGGAGTAGCTCACCCAGAATCGCAAGAGAAGAAACCAAGAACTTGGCATGACTCTCTATACAAACCGAAAAGTCATATCATCAGTCATTGCCGATGATATTCTTAATAGAAATAAACGTACTCCATATCCAACAGAAGAAAAGATGAATAATTACCACTTTTACAGTAAGAAGAGATACTCCGTTATCAGCTAGCTCATCCTCATATAGGATCACCTGTTCATAATGAGGATCAATTTGTGATGGGAAGCAAATGCCATCAGGGAAGATGGGAAGCATAAGAATGAATTCATTTCCATATATTTGAATAGGCTAACATAAATCAGACTTCAATAACTAAATTCACTCTTCCAGAAAACTCACAGAGTTGTCAATTGATAAAAGAACAGAAGAAGGGAAAAGGAGGGGGAGCAGAGTGAAATCACAGGGGAAAAGGACCAGAAGGTGGGGCATAAGAGCACAAAGAAGAGAAGTACGAATTCTAAACAACATTTACCTCTTTACCCCAAGAGTACCTTAATAAAATAGGCGAGGGCTTTATATGGAGCCCCAATAACTTCACAAACATAATTTCTATAAACAGAAGTAAATTAAAATACTAATTTCTAATCATAGTCAATATACTATTTCCAATATTTAATTTTAATTCCTAATTTAAAAATAATAATATTTCCTAATCTCTTCCAGTTCCCTATAATCAACCTTCTAAGGAGATGGATCTTCTTCATTCTTCCAGTGGAGCATAATTTCCTAAATACCTCCAAAAAAAATCACTTTGTTCACAAATTAATTTGTGCATAGAATAGGTTTGTGCACACCGTGCAATTGTCATTTAAATAAATAACTACTCGCCTCATCATAAAATAGTATAGGTTCTTTTGATGCCAATGCAACTACATCAATCTTCTCCTCGCAGTCTTCCCATTTGAGATTGCATTGTTCCTCGGCAACACTTGCGTCCTACCATTAAAATTCAAACGGCTTAAAATCATCAACAGATGCCCACTATTCACAGTATTTCTAACAGCAGCATTAAGTGCCTGAATACTATGGTCAAACTGCAGCAATTTAGCAGACACTCATTCTACAGACAACATCTTCTACAAATGAGTAATGACTTGCACACAGAACTTTAATAGAACTTAGATGTTTGGTATGGCAGATTCAGTGCAGGTTTGGTATACTCCTTGGTCCCTTCTGACGAGATTTATCAAGAGCCAAAATCAATTCTGCTGCCTGCACTACAAATGAAGAAAAAAGAGGGAGCACGTACCTTATCTTTATCAATCTCGATAGTTCCACTTCCACAATAAGGAGTTGTAAATGTATAGTCATAATCTAGTATTACTTGCTGAGAGGGTTTGCTGCAATTTTTTTTCCCAAAGAGTGTGAGACAAAGAGCAAGAACTATTTGCTGGTAAACAGAGAAATTGATAACAACTTAATTGAAAGAAACTTCTCAATATTATGTTCCTCACGTGGTGAATGCATCAAAAAATTAATAAGCTTTTTATTCTCTCAGAGAAAGAAAGAAACCAATGTAACAAGATTGTAGAATTCAACGATATAAGGAATTAGCAGTGGACATATTCGAAAACTTGAAAAGCAAAAAAAAAAAAAGTTGGTAATTTTGTCAAAATAACTTATCTCGTTACCTTCTAAACTTCCACTTCGCAGCTGCTGGCACTTCCACTGGGGGCAGGGCTTCCTGTTTCCAGCCACATAGAGCATCAAATGCATTAAAATAAAGTTTAGTGCCACTCTTTACGTGTTTTAGAATCAAGGAATTTTCCCCAAAAACCATTTCTGGCAAGTGAGATGTCTGAAGTTTCTGTTCCCATCTGTACAATGCATCAAATTAATTCATTAAAAACTATAGGATCAAAGATCAGGCAAGTGAAGTGTTTTGACATATGGGAATATTGAAACTTGAAATTCCAGGAAATTTATAGTAAGTTCGAGATAAAGAACATGATTGGTTCTATTCTAATACTGACAAAACATCAGTATACATAGTAAAAATCTTTACCCTTGAGCTCCCACTCCCGGGTCTCTCTACGTCTCTCAGAGAAAGCAGCAATTTCTAGTTAAAATACTAAATTAAAAAAAGAAATACGCCTCCAGAAACAAGAAAAGCACAAAGCAAGCACAAAACAGAATGCAATGACTCAGTCACAGGTGCAAAAGGAATAGTTCCTAAAATTGGAAAGCACGTCAGCTAGGGTTAACAGTAACAAAAGTGCGTACTCTTGAGCAGTGGAGGACTTGAGTATAGAGTGTTTCAAAGTCTCAATCTCCCAACCGCGGATGCGAATACCACGTCGACCATCCCCAGTTAGGAGCTCAGCACCGGCGGTTTTCAGGTCATTCTCCTCGACCTTCACTTCCATCGTGGCCTCGTTTTACCACGGAATTACTTCGCCCTGCGCCGCTCTAGTGAATGGAGATTCTGTGGTCAACTGATTCGAAATTTGGGGCCGGAACGGGATCGCGTGTGAAACGACTCGGAAGACCTCCCACAGGCTCTTTGTAAAAGGAGCAATTTTAATTTGTTTTCGTAACAAGGGACCGTTTCGTATGAGGGAAAATCTGGAACCAGTTGCTAATTCTGATATTTCGTAGAATCTTAGATGAATAAATTCTACTTCTTGAGACTTCTGTGTAATTTTTCCTAATACAAAAGAGTAATAAAAATTAATTAAAAGCTCTTAACCTAAATTTTTAATTTTTTAACTCAAGCTTTATTAAAACAACCCAGCGGAAGCTGTTAACAACCCAGGCAGTATCCAATTCAAAGCTGAAACACAATCTCTCTCTCCTCAACCTGTGTTCGAACTGCTCCCTCTCCCACCAGTTGCGTCTCTCGTACTCGTCGCAGTTACTCCCTGGTGTCGTCTCTCCCTTCATAGTCACTTCCTATGGTGCAATCGCTTCCTTGTTGCATCGTCTTCCCCTCTTGCAATAGGTTCGCCATCTGCTATCTCCCCTTGTCACAATGGGCCTCTTGACGTCTCTTCCTATCCCAAACTGTGCATTGCCGTCTTGCTATCTCCCTCACCCTAATCATGCTGTGGCATTGTCACTCAATTGGCCTAAAATCTCTCCCCGCCCCTAACCGCGTCATTGCGCAGAAAGCATTGGGTCTTCAACGGCACCTTCATTAACAACATCAACGGTGAGTATTAACAACTCAAAGGGAAATTGTTGACAACTAGGCAGTGTCCACTGGTAATTGACTTTATAAGATAACACAACCTCTACATAACACCAAATTATAACCAAATAGTATAATACAACAACTTTAACACTAAAATGGAAAGTTTTTTTAAGGCATTAATAACTTTAACTAAACTCAATAGGATCACAACAAAATTTTAATGCAAAGATCCATTGACAACCTCAACAGCAAGTATTAACAACCTAAGGGGAAGCTGTTAACAACCTAGACAGTATTTGTTGATAACTAACTTTATAGTAAATTACAGCAATCTTTGATGAGTGTATATTTTTAGACATCGTAGATGAAAATTCACAGCCAACAAGGGATGGTCTAATAGAAGAACAACATGTGTAAGTGAAATTTAGTTATTTTAATTTAAAGTAATATTGTCTATTATCAATTGTTCTGCTTAGGTTGTCATTTCAGCGGTTGAAGGTTGCCATTCACAACTCTATGACTTGTCTTATTATGCAGGATGCAAGACTTATTTAAAAGTTTAGATGTATTGTCCATGTTTCCGCTCAATGTGTTGGGTGAAGACCCACCATCATTGCCATGTGGTTCACAAATGATGCCAACATTCATTTTCAAAATGAATTCAACAAAATTGAAGGATTTGGTTATTGGAGAAAGATAAATTTTTGCCAATATGGTGGCCCTTTGACAAACACTATATAAGTACAGTATTGCTATGAAGTTTTCATACAAATGATTTCAGTGTTAAAGTTGTTGTGTTATATTATTTAGTTATAATTTGATCTTATATAGGGGTTATATTATCCTATAAAATCAGTTGTCAACAAATACTGTCTAGGTTGTCAACAGCTCCCCTTAGATTGTTAATACTCATCGTTGAGATTGTCAATAAATCTCCGTATTAAAATTCTGCTATAATTCTATTAGGTTTAATTAAAGTTCTTAATACCTTCAAAAAGCTTCCCACTTCAGTGTTAAAGTTGTTGTATTATACTATTTGGTTATAATTTGGTGTTATGTGAAGGTTGTGTTATCCTATAAAGTCAATTATTAGTGGACACTACCTAGATTGTCAACTGCTTTCCCTTATGTTGTTAATACTCACCGTTGATGTTTGCAATCGCATTGGCAAAGAAAATAATGAATTGGGAACCTGAGAGATAGTGATGTTATTTTACAATTACAATATAATACTCTAAAGTCTCTTGAGACCTGCTATTAATTCTGAAATTTTGAGGGATCTTAGATGAATAGATTATATTCCTTAGGATTTGTGTGTAATTTTCTCTTTATATTACTTCTTCTTTTAATTAAAATTTTAAAACTCCACTTCTCTAATTTTTTAAATAGAACTCATTAAATTTTTCCTTTCCCTCCCCTTCCCTCCACTCCATTTCCCTTATACCAAACAAAAAGGTAGAATCTAGCACCAACCAAGTACATCCAATATTTTTAGAGAATCTAATATTTTATCTTATTCTTTTTTATATTCTTAACACTCTAATCTTATTCATAATGCATCAGGTGCTATATATATTAGAAAAATAACATCAAAATGTTGGTGTACTATAAGATAATTGTGCTAAAAATACTTAAAAAAAATAAATTCATGACGCTAGATATTACATTACCCTTATTTTTTTGGTCAAGGGAAAAATGTAAATTTAACATAATTTAAATTATAATGTTATGGCTCATGACAGTTTTTTTTTTTTTGCCAATCATCACATAAAATTGGAGGACAAACAATTTTGTTTATTCCTTATGAACTATAAATTGTGTGATTTGTTATAAATTTTATATCTGATGTTAAGATATTGAAATTAAATAATAAAATGTCTTCTTATGAAAACAAACCTCACTTAAGATTCGCCCTTACTGTAATTTTTAACATTTAACCTACAAAAATTAATGTGGGCATGAGTAGTTGTCTCAGCGGCCCAATGGGTAGACGAAGAGGATGGATTGATCGAAGCGTCCTACTGTCTGATGCTTCAGAACCTTACGGGCCTTGAGGCCCTCAATATTTTGGGCTTTCCCCAGTGAGGCCCATTTTCCTTTTCTCTCTTTAGTGGCTTTCAAGTTTCATTGTGTCATTCCTTTTGCCCAAAAAACAAATTATGTCATTCCCGAGCGAGAAACCATGCATGAGAGATGAGACATCGATATTCAATGTTATAATTTCGGCAAAAAAAGATGTTATAAACTTATAATAACGTTACGCAAGATTTTGTCCAAACAAAAATAACAACTTTAGTTTAAAGGCTTACCGGGCACAAAAAAAAAAAAACCACACACACACACGCGCGCACTTTTTTTCAAGCTAAACTATGGTTTTGTTTAATGAGGAAGTCAGAAGAAAAGTTCCAAAGGCCCATGGGAATATGTAGAATGTGATATATGGGAAATATCTTCAAGAGTATAAAAACTTCAAAATTTGTGTTAAAAGATAATTGTGCCTTCGTACTCTTTTTTATTTTCCACCTCCTTGGAGTTTGGTACAGACAAAAGCAGTAAATTTCTCAAAAGAATAGCTCAGCATATCACATACACGTATGTACAGATCTTCTGTTCCAACATTTTAAAAAAGACCATCTGATTAAAGAAGGATGGATGAGCTTGTTTAGAGATGCTTATGTCAAGTGATTATAAACATATTTACGTAAATCGAGATATCATTCTTTTCATATATTCATATCATTTTCTGTAAATTATGATATTAAAGCTATTTTTAAAGGATTTTATATCATCTGAGGGGATTTTATATCAGATATGATTATTGTTTCAGCTAATTTAAGCATTGCTTCAGTTATAAAATCCCCTCAGATTTTTAAATCCTGTAGGTAAGTCGAAATATAACTTCTCTCATATCTCATATCATCTGAGTAACTACCTTTCGTTCCAAACAAGCATGAAGCCTATTATTCAAATGAGATTGTAGTTGTGCATCCACCTTTTTAATACTGTAAAATTTGAGTCTCACATGTCCCGCCAGGCTAATCTATTGGACTGCCGACCTCATGTATGTTAATATGATTACTGCTTCAGCCAATTCACACATTGCATTATATTTTGCACCATAACCCACAGGATTTCAAGTACAATTATTAATCAATTGACTTTAGTTTGCTAATGAAGCCATTAGGCAACGGTTTTTCATATTATTCACATGGTCGTGAATGATATGATTAATTAGGAACTCCACTTGGGAGTTAAAATGAAATGTGGGGGAGAGAGAGTGGTCAAGATTAAGAGAGAGAGAGAGAGAGTGGTGTGGGAGGGAAGCTTCTGGGAGGTGCGCAAAGGCAGAGCTTAGGAATAAGTGTTTGTGTGTGGCTGGGGGGATTATACGGTACGGCTGGGGAGTGAGTTGGGGGTTGTGCCGTTTACCCCAAAACGTGGCCGATTGACCCGCCGTCTCGCCCACCTTCGTTGGCACACGCAAAATCCGAAACAAAACGACCTTCCCACTGTTGCTGTCGTTTGACTGCTTCCATCTTCTTCTTCTTCCCCCATTTTCCCTCCCTTTTCTTGGTTTCCGTGTTTTCCCAACTCACTCCAGTTCTCCATTCCCTTCCCACTTATCCCTATACGAAATATCCATGAAACCCTCCCTCTCCGTTTGTCTTCCTAATGCTGCAACACTATAAACTGAATATTATATCAAGAATCGGAGTTTAGAGGTAGTATTAAAAAAACACACTGGTCAATAAGGGAACAATATCCATACACTTCAATTATCTTTAATATAAAAACTACTCAATTCATTTAGCTAGATTAACACATTAGATAAATTAATTGTTTACAATAAATATAACCTGATCTCCTTAAAATATTCATGCGTAACATTATATTATACATATTTTGTAGGGAAAATTGAGAAGAACGACCTAAAAAAATTAGTATTTATTAAGAAGGATCTTAAAAATTGTAATTAGTTTGAAGGACCAAAAATTAAAATATGAATTTACAATTACAAAATTATCCCTGGCCAAATCCCTACATTATCTCCAACGCCCATCTCAAAATTTGACTGTTAGTTATCAACTGAAATATAAATTTATAATTACCAAATTGCCCCCCATTAAAATTAAAACTAAATACAGCAATTAACAAAAATATAAAGTCCTATTTTTCAGTCATTCATATCTGCATCTACTAACCTTTCATTCTGATATGGCTGGAAAAATTTCCAGCTTGCGTGACTGTGATTTTGCCCCTTATTTCGATGTGGTTGGAAAAATTATTAGTAAAGCTTAGGTTACGAAGCGGTAGTATTTATCTGATTTTCATATTTTGGTTAACAGAAAGAACTATATTTATATTC